GGAATGTGCGCGACAATATTAAAGCTAAATTTGCAAAAATGGGTACATTTTTGATTTTCAAATAAGCATGACGCCAGGCCGAAGGAAAGTGTGAGGAATCGTTTGCAACGAAAATCAGGATGGTACAACGATGTTTTCTGTGAAAAATGTCAAGTTGACGCAACGTAAACAAACCTTATAGGTTATTGAGAGGCTAGAAAAGTATGTAAAGTTACGAAAAATCGTGGCGAGAGTGGTACAAGTTCCTGAACCCGGACGGTCCGGGGGACCCCGCCCTATACGCAGAAACCCTTCGAGGGCGGGCATCGGGGGTTTTTTCGTGTTTTCGCGAGGTTCTTGTCGTTCGTTGACACACGGAAACGCATGTGGCTACGCGATTTTCCCCTATTCCAAACAACACCGTGGCCGCGACGGGCGACTCGCGTACACGCATAAAATCATGTTGAACGCATCCACGATCATTTGCCATGAAAATTGTCACGAAAAACCGCGTATATGGGGGCGAAATCGCACCCGGATTCTGGGGGTGTTCGGAGATTGGCACTCACCTGCATGGTTCCGTCTACGCGTCGCAACGACGAGCCACCGACGTGATTATCGACTCGCGTCGCGCGAAATCGATCCGATCCCCAATCGTTCCACTGTCACACGTACACGTCCTCGTAATATCAAGCCGCGTTTATCGTCGCGGGTATCGACATTATGAAAAACTCGCGAGTATCGTGCGCTATATGGTCACGGACTCGAGAGGTTGACCGCCATTTTGTGAACCAGACTTGCTTCTTCGCCCTCCCCACTCAAGGTTCTCCCGTCATGCAACGCGCGCGCCATCTCGCTCTTCCCTTTGCCCTCACCACTCGTCTCCGCCAATCACGCGCTGCCTTCGAGCGAGAAACCTTTGAAACGCAACAGCGGATTGGCCGAGAGACGAAGGAAGAAAGGAGACGACAGACGCGCGCATCGAATGATTAAAGTTATGTACATGTATGTGGTTGGTGTGTGTGTATGTGTGTATGTGTGATGCGCGCGCGCGCACGCACGATCCGGAAAAGCGTCTATTAAATGATACGTAGATTTCTCAAGCAAGTGTCTCGAGTAAGAAATTTAGGCGATGTCAAATGTCACGATAAAAAGCGAATCGAAATCCTGCAAAATTCATGGCTCGATTTTTCTCGCGCGAATTCGAATGGATTCGATCATTTCGCACGAGATTTTGTGATACGACATATCCGATGCAAGCCGTAAAACGGAAATCAAACGTTTGCACGGCCATTTTGAGTAGCCAACGATTTTACCCAGAATGCACAGCGTCGCGTCGCTTTTTTCGATTAATTGTCGTTGGACTTCATTTTACGCAATCGTCAGCAGCTGTTTAAAATGGCGCGTTCACGGGTAACATTTTTTTTTACACGTTCTCGTTTTACACTTTCTAAACGGAAGTTATTCTCACTATTCTTTTTCTATACCCGGGACTGAACTTGCATTGTTCATTTTCTGTCCCTTTCTCTTCAATGTGAAAAAAAAGAAAGATAAACCGTACAAGTTCAATTCTGAAGTATGAAAACAGGAAACGGCTTTAACGGTCGAAACAGTCGCTTTGAAGGATAATTTCTCGACAAGCATCATGGCGATTAACGGCGACCAAGTTTTTGTTAAATACGCAAGAGCTTCATAAATTATATATTTCTTATCCGCGAAAAGGAGAGAAATCCGATATTTCAGAGGAGAAAATTGTGGAAAATCGCGTAAAATGATCACCGACGGTAAAATGATCAGTAATGAGAAAATCTATCGAGAAAATCTCGCAAATCGCGAACGGCCATTTAGAAAAGAGAAACGAACGACGCAGAACAGTTAGCTCGCGCGCGCATTACGATGTTGAATTGATACATACCAACGTGAAGCAACGAATTTTTCGAGGGTTCAGGAACTCGCGCTTAATTCTAACACATACTTCTCGTTTAAAGCAGGCAGGAATCCACACTAACTGACGCCACTGACGGCCGAATGGATTGGAATGGAACAGGCTCTAGTAGAACGCCAAGTTGGTCGACGTCGCCATGCAAAAGGCGCAAGCGAGGTGATCGGAGACGGAGAGCGGAGCACGACCTGCCACGACAGGCTGGCTTTCCATTAGACGTAACGGGCAGAACAGACAGATGGACGAACATCGCCGTCTCAGAGGAACTTCTGAATTCTGAACGACCGCGTGTCGCAACGTCGCGAAAACGACGCCGACTGAGCGGCGCGCCACGCCCGTGCCAATGGAAAGCCAGCGCAGCCGTCTCGCAGTCGATGTGACTATCGTATCATGGTGAGAATGAAAGAGGAAAAATATTACCTACACGTCCGTGCCAACGCCGCGCCGGAAAGGGAGGAGATGCCCTTGTTTCCGGTATATGTACGCGATCGCGACTCGATCGAGAGCTCGATTAGCGCCACCTTCGCTATTCGAGTTTTACGGTGGGCTCTTTCAAACATGTTTTACGCACAAGATTAATTGCTTTCGTGTAATTTGGCTTGAATTGGCCTAAAAAAATATATAATCGGTTGGTAATATTATTTAATAGAAAATAATAAAATGATAATTTATATGTTATTATTGACAATAATAAATTTACAATTTACAATACTTTGTATAAATTATGTAACATTTAATTGAATCGGTTTGATGAACAGACTATTTTGTATTATATAATTTATTCGTTATTACAGAAAAGGAAAAAAAAAAGTGAACTCTTATTCTGTTCACTAACAGATTATTTCTGAGGAAACTCGAAAAAATAAATGGAAATTGAATGATTCGACTGACTTAATTAAATTAAAAGACAAAAACTGTTCTTCAAAACATAATTATACATTTCACAATTTCAACAGTACAAACAATTTTGATGCGTAATTGATTTTATTTACATAATGATATTGTTCCCGATTAATATACAATACTAATGTTATGGAAGGGGACATAAAATATGGAAATAATTATGACGATTAACACAATATATATGTGTATGTATATATATATATATATATTTATGTATATATATATATATATTTATATATATTTATATATATACACATGATATAGAAAGGCAATTTCGGTAATAACACAAATCATATACAAAATGAGGATTATATATAGCACTTTCAGCGCTAACTCGTGCTACTTGATAATAGTTACATATTTTATGCCAAGTTTTCTATTTATGAAACGACAACTCAGTTTTGTAACTGATTCAGCTCAATTTAACAGCGTGCCAACGCGATGACGAATACCACGGTGACGAAAGAAAAAGCTGATGGAAATAATAATTGCATATTGCAGAAATTCGAAGAGATAACAACTTTATTATGTATCCGTTTCGGATTATGTAAAGAATAAATGATGTAAATCTGATACTGATTTTCACTGAGTATCGATAATAGGCAATCTATTATCTTAAATGCGTTATTCCGGATCTGGCGTCTTTTCCGCGACGATCGGTTGTTCCTCTTTCTCCTTGTTTTCTTTTTCCTTTTTGTTTTTGGCATCGGGAACCCATAAACCGCTGTCGATGCAACGTTTCATGTGATATGTCGCCTCTTCTTCCGGCATCGCGGCTATTGTTTGTTGCAACAAAGGAATATCTTGCACTTCGAAACATTTCTGTAAAGTCTAGAAAAAAGAAAAAAGAAGGATTAAGAAGGAAATTTCATAGCGTTAGTTCAAATGTATGCATCTCGAAACAAATTTTTGTTTACCTCTGGAAGACTTTCGAACACTTCGACCGGATCGAGTCCACCGGGACCTAAACGAGCCTTTCTTTCCTCCTCCTCAGCCTCTCTAACCGCATCAGCTACCTTCTCCGCTGCTCTTTTGCGTATTCTGTCCTTAAATGCTCGAAGTTCGTCATCGAAGGAATTTTTATAATCCACTTCAGCAATCTGAATGCGACTGAAAAAGGAACCAACACACGCTCGCGGATCAACCTCCAATTGTCTAGATAGCTCCAATATATATTGCATACATATGCATTGATGCGCAACATGCTCCATCAAATCATGTTTCTAAAAATATAATATAGAATCAAATATAATAAAGATACATAATGAATATAGAATTGAGAGAAAAAATCCTATCTTCGATCAAAGCGGGTCTTGGTACTTGATAATGTTCATTTGCAAATTTGCATATGAACATTCTCAAGCAGCAAGATCCACTCTAACTAAAAATATTCCTTCTCTTATTCTCATTGGTCTAAATTTTACTTATAGACAGAATTGTTATAGATATCAATTATTAAGTCTGATAAAGCATTCTAGTTTAGCGATAGAACAGTTGCATGTCAAATTTACTTCTTCCATTTCCAAATTGATGCACCAGATGACCAAATAATTTGCTGTATTCTCGCAAACCAAGTTTAGATGATCTTTTAAATATTTCTTGCTGTCATCATATTTTCTTAGCATGCCAAACTCTTTCAATTTCTTCTCGTTATCTTTAACGAATTGCTTCATTCGTTCTTCTTTTTCCTCGTCAGATAAACCGGCGTCATCATCCCTCCTTGCAGGCTTTGTATTTATTACAGTTTTCGTAAAGCCATCTTGTCCAATAGTATCTACGTTCCATGGTGTCAATCTTTCCTTCTTTTCCATTTCTTTCTCCTCCTCCTCAATCTTTTCCTGCTCCTGTTCCAGATCCTGAAGAACTTTTTTCAACGTAGTTAAATCAGCCGATTCATTACATTCATTTTCTAATTTGGCTAATTTTTCCTTTGTATCTTTGAGTTTTTGCAATATTCTAAAATAACACGTTATAACAGAAATTAACTTGGTGTTGTATATAGAGGAGATTACATTATTCAACATATTTTTGCTTATACTCTATTTTCTTCCTGTTGTGTTCATCTTGCTCTCTCTTGCGCTCTTCCATTCTTTCCACTCGTGCTTGATGACGCCATCTGAATAAGGATGGCGTATCGATATTTGGATGTGTATCATCTTCGTCATCTGAAATCTAATGATAAGAATAGCAAAATCTATCAGTATAAGAACATTTGAATTGAATATATAAAAAATGTACATGTTAAATCTAAATGTACAAACATTGTTGCTATTAAAAGATAGTCTGATCATAAAAATAAAGTCTGATAAATCAAATTGGTTAATCAGAATAAAAAGCAAAGAAACTTTATAAAGTTATAAACTTAATTATATACTCTCTAAAATTAAACAATTTATGAAAAGTAAAGATTAGGCTTTTAAGAAATTTGGATAATTCGCAACATTTGACAGTGCAAAGATCTATAATAATGGTCCAGAAAAGACTCAATTCTATTATTCATGATACATAAACTGCATTCTAAATCGGGATAGTCGAACTGAATCGAAACTCTGAGCAATTGATGTTTTGGTATATGTTTTGGTAATATGTCATAATGATCTCCGACGCAAGAATGACGCACGACTGGCGAGATTTGATCCTGGGTCTCATCTTCGAAAACATTCCATTAGATCGCTGGATCCAGGGAGGATGACTGATGTCATTCTTACTTCGATATTCTTCCATTTGCTGTAATCCACCATTGTAGCGCCCGGATGAACCTGCCGTCAACGAGTCGCTTTTACGCAACAAGTTCGTCAGTTTGGAATAAACGATTCCTTCCTCTTTTCTTCCTCTTCTTTCGACGAACAGTATCATGCACAGAAATCTCTGATTGCCGCTCTCGTTTCCGCTTCTCTAAAGCTGACGCTCCCTCCTTTTTATCAAGTCTGATTACCGACTGACCATATAGTAGGCAATTTTAAAGAAGAACGAAAGATGGCAGATTAAGTATCGATCGATAATTCGTGATTGCTCTTCCTACACTTGAAATGAAATAAGTATACATCATTGTAAATTGGAGAGAAAAAGAGAGAAAGTGGAAAGTACATACAAAAGTTCAGCTCCAAAGAATAACTGAGAATAATCAACATTTTTAGCAGAATTTTAGCACTGTGAAATGATTGAAAAATTCTGTAAAAAGGAATGAAAACCTTTATAAACATTAAAATTTTTCTAACAAAATAGAAATAAATATAGAAATTATTGTAGACTGTATAAGACGTAAGTTTGAATTGTTTAAAGGGTTAAAGCCGCCCTGACGGCGGGCCGGTTAAAAGATGCGAAATGAGACTTTTAATGAATATTTGCGAATGTAACAAACATTGATTAAATAGTTACGTAGTCGATATTCTCTCTTTGTAGGATTGTTTGTGCTTAGATTTGTTCCTATGTGTTTAGATGAAGAATGATTAATTTTTTAAGTAGATATAGGTTAACAAGGAAACAAGTCGTTATGAATAACAGTACTGTTCTTTAGATATTTCGCATATAATATATAATTTACATTGTAAAAATTATGATTGGGATGAGAATGAATGCGTTTAATGACACTGGACTTGGAGAACCTGAACAAGATGCGAATACAGCCCTCATAGAACTTGATAAAGGTTTGTTTGTACCATTGACTTTTCTAACCTATTTACAGCACATAATATCTCAAATACTAAAGAGATATTAACAAATAATCTTATTATAAATACAAACATATACGAATATACAGTTTGTTATGCTTACTGCATAAGAATTCATTTTAGTTTCATGTGTTTGTGTGTGATTGTAGGTTTACGTTCTACCAAGACTGGAGAACAATGTGAAGCTATAGTACGTTTTCCTCGACTATTTGAGAAGTATCCCTTTCCAATATTAATAAACTCGTCTCTGTTGAAATTGGCCGAAGTATTTCGTACAGGGAGTAATTTCTTACGAGTATGGGTTTTAAGAGTATGTCAGCAGAGTGAAAAACATCTTGATAAAATCTTGAATGTAGACGAATTTGTAAGACGTATTTATAGTGTTATACATTCAAATGATCCAGTCGCTAGAGCTCTTACTTTGCGTACATTGGGCAGTGTAGCTGGTATTATTCCTGAAAGGCAGCAAGTAATACCTTTAGCTAATTAATAAAAAAATAAGACAATTTCTAGCTTATAATAAAGTTATTATTAATTTTTATGCCAGGTACACCATAGCATAAGAAGATCCTTGGATTCTCATGATTCAGTTGAAGTAGAAGCTGCAATATATGCTGCTCAAATGTTTGCAGCACAGTCCAAATTATTTGCTGTATCCATGTGCAGTAAGATTTCTGACATGATCAGAGGTCAAGCTACTCCAGCTTCAATGAAGTTACAACTTATACCAATTCTACAGTACATGCATCACGATACGTTTACAGCATCGATGGTATATAATATTTTGTATATGTAATAAACTTTATATATATATATATATATATATATATACATAGCTTTTAAAATAAGAACCATATATATACTACTAGTTTTTATTAAAGGTAAATGAACTGTGTATGGAGCTTCTTGCGAGTTATCCAGCAGTGGAATTTGTTAGAGTCACTCTTAGTGCATTAAGTACTCTTGCTTCTGCAACATTGCTAGATGTGCCACAACAAGTTGCATTATTATTGCGCTATTTGCAAGATGATCCAAGATTGTCTGTTAAACGTCA